AAGTTCTTTAGTGGTGATTTGTGAGACTTTGGTGCACCTATCACCTGAGCAGTATATACTGCACCATTACTGCACCATATTTGTAGTCTTTTATCCCTCACCCCCCTCCCACCATTCCCCAAAGTCCATTGTATCATTCTTTTGCCTTTGCGTCCTCATAGCTTAGCTCCCACGTATCAGTGAGAACATATGATGTTTGGTTTTCCATTCCTGAGTTACTTCACTTAGAATAATAGTCTCCAGTCTCATCCCGGTCACTGCAGATGCTGTTAATTCATTCCTTTTTATGGCTGCACAGTATTCCTTCATCTATACATACCACAGTTTCTTTATCCACTTGTCAATTGATGGGCATTTGGGTTGGTTCTACAATTTTGATTCACAATTTTGCAATTGTGAACTATGTTGCTATAAACATGCATGTGCAAGTACCTTTTTTGAATAATGACTTCTTTTCCTCTAGGTAGATACCCAGTAATGGGATTGCTGGATCAAATGGTAGTTCTACTTTTAGTTCTTTAAGGAATCTCCACACTGTTTTCCATAGTGGCTGTACTAGTTTACATTCCCACCAGCAGTGTAGAAGTGTTCCCTGATCACCACATCCACACCAACATCTACTGTTTTTTTATTTTTTGATTATGGCCATTCTTGCAGGAGTAAAGTAGGTATTGCATTGTGGTTTTGATTTGCATTTCCCTGATCATTAGTGATGTTGAGCATTTTTTTCATGTGTTCGTTGGCCATTTGTATATCTTCTTTTCAGAATTGTCTATTCATGTCCTTAGCCCACTTTTTGATGGAATTGTTTTTTTCTGATTTCATTGTAGATTCTAGATATTAGTCCTTTGTCAGATGTAGAGATTGTGAAAATTTTCTCCCACTCTGTGGGTTGTCTGTTTACTTTGTCAACTGTTCCTTTTGCCATGCATAAGCTCTTTTGTTTAATTAGGTCCTAGCTATTTCTTTGTTTTTATTGCATTTGCTTTTGGGTTCTTGGTCATGAAATCCTTGCCTAAGCCAATGTCTGGAAGGGTTTTTCCAATGTTATCTTCTAGAATTTTTGTAGTTTCAGGTCTTAGGTTTAAGTCCTTAATCCATCTTGAGTTGATTTTTGTATAAGGTGAGAGATGAGGATCCAGTTTCATTCTCCTACATGTGGCTAGCCAATTATCCCAGCACTGTTTGTTGAAAAGGGTGTCCTTTCCCCATTTTGTGTTTTTGTTTGTTTTGTCAAAGATCAGTTGGCTGAACTGTTTGGGTTTATTTATGTGTTCTCTCTTTTCTGTTCCATTGGTCTATGTGCCTATTTTTATACCAGTACCACACTGTTTTGGTTACTGTGGCCTTATAGTATAGTTTGAAATCAGGTTGTGTGATGCCTCCAGTATTCTTTTTGCTTAGTCTTGGTTTGGCTGTGCAGGCTCTTTTTTGGTTTCATATGAATTTTAGAAGTGTTTTTTCTAATTCTGTGAAGAATGATGGTGGTATTCTGATGGGGATTGCATTGAATTTGTAGATTGCTTTTGGCAGTATGGTCATTTTCACAATATAGATTCTACCCATCCTTGAGCATGGGATGTGTTTCCATTTGTTTGGGTTGTCTGTGATTTCTTTCAGCAGTGTTTTGTAGTTTTCCTTGTAGAGGTCTTTCGACTCCTTGGTTAAGTATATTCCTAATTATTTTATTTTTGTTTTGTAGCTGTTGTAAAAGGGGTTGAGTTCTTGATTTGATTCTCTGCTTGGTCGCTTGTTGGTATATAGAAGAGCTACTGATTTGTGTACATTAATCTTGTATCTGGAAACTGCTGAATTCTTTTATCAGTTCTAGGAGCTTTCTAGAGTTGTCTTAGGGTTTTCAAGGTAAACGATCATATTATCAGCAAACAGTGACAGTTTAACTTCGTCTTTACTGATTTGGATGCCCTTCATTTCTTTCTCTTGTCCGATTGCTCTGGCTAGAACTTCCAGTACTGTGTTGAAGAGGAGTGGTGAGAGTGGGCATCCTTGTCTTGTTCCCATTCTCAGAGGGAATGCTTTCAACTTTTCCTCATTCTGTATTATGTTGGCTGTGGGTTTGTCATAGATGGCTTTCATTACATTAAGGTATGTCCCTTGTATGCCAATTTTGCTGAGAGTTCTAATCATAAAGGGATGCTGGATTTTGTCAAATGCTTTTTCTGCATCTATTGAGGTGATCATGTGATTTTTGTTTTTAATTCTGTTTATGTGGTGTGTCATATTTATTGACTTCTGTATGTTAAGCCATCCCTGTATCCCTGGTATGAAACCCACTTCATCATAGTGGATTATCTTTTTGATATGTTGTTGGATTCAATTAGCTAGTATTTTGTTAAGGATTTTAGCATCTATGTTCATCAAGGATATCGGTCTGTAGTTTTGTTTTTTGGTTACGTCCTTTTCTGGTTTTGGTATTAGGGTGATGCTGAATTAGGGAGGATTCCTTCTTTCTCTATCCTGGGGAATAGTGTCAAAAGGATTGGTACCGATTCTTCTTTGAATGTCTGGTAGAATTCTCCTGTGAATCCGTCTGGTCCTGCACTTTTTTTTATCAGTAATTTTAAAATTACCATATCAGTCTTGCTGCTTGTTATTGGTCTGATCAAGGTATCTAATTCTTAAGATTTAAGATAGGAAGATTATATTTTTCCAGGAATTTATCATCTCTTCTGGGTTTTTTAGTTTATGTGCATAAAGGTGTTCATAGTAACCTTGAATGATCTTTCGTATTTCAGTGGTGTCAGTTGTAATATCTCCTGTTTCTTTTCTTAGTGAGGTTATTGGGGTTTTCTTTCTTCTTTTCTTGGTTAATCTTGCTAAAGGTCTATCAATTTTATTTGTGTTTTCAAAGGGCCAGCTTTTTGTTTCATTTATCTTTTGTATTGGTTTTTTGGTTTCAATTTTATTTATAAAATTGAAAATTGGTTTATTTTAATAACTGATCTTGGTTATTTCCTTTCTTCTTCTGGGTTTGGGTTTGGTTTGTTCTTGTTTCTCTAGTTGCTTGAGGTATGACCTTAGATTGTCTGTTTGTGCTCTTTCAGACTTTTTGATGTAGGCGTTTAGGCCTATGAACTTTCCTCTTAGCACCGCCTTAGCTGTATTCCGGAGGTTTTGATACTTTGTGTCATTTTTGTCATTCAGTTGGAAGAATTTTTAAATTTCCATCATGATTTTGTTTTTGACCCAGTGCTCATTCAGAAGCAGGTTATTTGATTTCTATGTATTTGCATAGTTTTGAAGGTCCCTTTTGGAGTTGATTTCCAGTTTTATTCCACTGTGGTCTGAGAGAGTGCTTGATATAATTTCAGTTTTTAGTATCGAAATGTCAGGTACTATTACATTCATTGTGCTCTTTGTTGCCTGTGTACTTTGGTTTTTTTGTTTTTGCTTTGTAACTTGTATTTATTTATTTGTTTATTTATTTATTTATTTAGTCTTGGAGTTTCACGCTTGTTGCCCAGGCTGGTCTTGAACTCCTGACCTCAGGTGATCCGCCTGCTCCAGCCTCCCAAAGTGCTGGAAAGTGCTGGGATTATGGGCATGAGTCACCGCACCTAGCCCCCCCTAATTTTTTTAATTAGAGGATGTGGTGGTGCGTACCTGTAGCCCCAGCTACTTGGGAGGCAGAGGCAAGAGGATCACTTGAGCCCAGGAGTTTGAGACTGCAGAGTTATGATAGTGCCACTGCACTACAGCTTGGGTGACAGAGTGAGATCCTGTCTCTTCCAAACAAAACGCTCTAGAAGTTTTCTGGGTTTTTTTGTTTGTTTGTTTGTTTGTTTGTTTGTTTTGCTTAGCTGGCTACCCTATAGTGTTTCCAATTGTTTTTTAATGAGCTGTCAGAAGATTGGAATTTCATTTGTAGAGTTCTGCTAGCCAAAAGCACGACTGTCTTTCAGTTAATGCAAAAGGTAATCAAAGCTACATACAAGGAAATATTTCTTAGAATAGCAACATTGAGCTTATTTTGTTGTTTTTGTACTAAGTTTTGCTTCATTATAATCATAGGTTATAATACTTGTAAGTACTCTATGGATGATGAAATTCTCCTCTTTTTAAAAAATGCTTCCTCGGTTGTTCTTATTGGTGAACTATAAGATATAGTATTGCTGATCAGACACGGTGGCTCACGCCTGAATCCCAGCACTTTGGGAGGCTGAGGCAGGTGGATTGCTTGAGGCCAGTTCAAGACCAGCCTGGCCAACATGGCAAAACCCCATCTCTACTAAAATATAAAAATTAGATGGATGTGGTGGCGTGCACCTGTAATCCCAACTACTCTGGAGGCTGAGGCAGGATTGAACCTGGGAGGTGGAGGCTGCAGTGAGCCAAGATCCTGCCACTGTACTCCAGCCTGGGTGACAGAGTGAGACCCTGTCTCAAAAAAAAAGGAGATATAATTTTGCTTTTCTGTATGTTCTGTGGATTTAAGTAATTGGATTCAGAATGAACTAGCTTGTTAAAAGTTTTACTCTTTTTAACAGCTGAATTTTGAAATAAAATGAATTCAGATTTTATTAGCTATAAAATCCTATTAAATGTTTTTATGGTTTAATCAAATTTATTGTATTGATGTTAGCAAAATCCTATTTTCTTTCTTTTATAGTTTATCTTATATCAGTGTATTCTGCTTTTTGGTTTTCTGGGTTTTTGTTTTGTTTTGTTGTTTTTGAGACAGGGTCTGACTTTGCCAACGAGCCTGGAATACAGTGATACAATCACAGCTCACTGCAACTTCAACCTCCTGTACTCAAGTGATCCCCCCAGCTCAACCTCCTGGATAGCTAGGACCACAGGTGCTTGTCTCCACACCTGACTACTTTTTAAAAATTTTTGTAGAGACAGGGTCTTACCATGTTGCCCAGGCTGGTTTCAAACTCCTGGGTTCAAGTGATCCTCCCAAAAAGTATTGCAATTACAGGCATGAGCCACTACACCTAGCACCTGTATTCTGTTCTAACCCACTGTGCTCTCAGCTTGCAGAACACAGAGAAGTACGGCATACCTACAGCCTGGAGTCCCTTTGTCACTGCCCATTTTACGAGGAAGCCATGCATTTAGTTGAAGAAGGAAAAATTTACTCCAGAGTACTGAGGTACCATTTCAGTTTTGTTTATGTTTATGAAGGATATTAAGGTGTTTGTGTGGTACTTATTAAAAATGCTTATGAGAATAGGAGAAAATATGTTTTTAGGTCCAAGTAAAGAAAAAATTGTTTTTACATGTTCTGTCAGTATTGAAAAAACATGTTTTATATTAAGGTCCTGAGGTTAAGCCTTGTTTGAATCCAAATTTATAGTAGGCTTGATCTTGAATGTAGTTTAACAATTGTCTCCCCTGTTTATTACATAGAACTGAAATGTTGGAGTGCCTAGGAGACAGTGATTTTCTTGCCAAACTTCACTGTATTCGACAGGCTTTTCAGGTATTTTTTTAACATTAAGTGACTTCACCCAGCCACTCATCCCTACCCTCATGCTGTAGAGTCCAGTGCAAATAAACAGGACAGCTCTTTGCTCTTGATTATCCCTGTTCCTAATGACAAATATAAAGTCCACTAAACTTATTTTTCCTCCCCACTACTTGCCTTCATTTGTTTCCATATTTCATTATCCTCTCCCACGACTTCCCAGGCCCACCACACTTTGTCAAAACAGGATATTTTGATACTTCAGGAGTGTAAAAATAGCTGCTTAAAATAAAAACCCTCTTTCTTATTATTAATTAGTATGTATTTGAGATTTGAGTCCATTATAAAATTGATTTTCTAAAAAGAAAGTAAAAATATATTTGTTTTCTTATGTTTTGGGGCTATAGGAAATTTATTTGAGACTTTGTAATATTATGTTGAACAGAATTTAAATTCAAATTTAACTCCCTTTAATCTTTTGGCTATAGATAGTTTCAAGAGTTCTTTTTATTTTAGGAAATGAGGACTTTCTCTGTGAGCTGCCTGTTGAAATAGCACCACATGCGGTGCATTCACTATTTTAGGATGATTTGTGCTATTAAGTTGAATGTCCATTCACATTCATTATAGGTCTCTTTTTTCTTTGGGGATGAATATTTTTTCAGGTAATTCTTTCAGAGTCAGCCAACAGGATATTCCTCGCTGAGAGTGGAAGGAAAATTTTATCAGCTTTAATTGTGAAAGCACGTAAGGTAAACTTGTTCTTTTGGCAAGTTTTTACCATTTACAAAAGTTGTTTTTACCCTTTGAACTGAATGTTAAGACGTTACATTTTTGATAGAAGAAAAAGTTTTTGTGGATAGTTGCAAAGTTTCCCATTTTAAAAATAAATAACCCAAAGGGCATTAAGTTATGCTCGGGTTGAACTATCTATAAAGTCCACACTATTTCAACCAAGTTGTTTCTCATAAATTATTTCCAATTTGCCATAAAGTATGTAAATGTCATGGTGAGAATTATCATTAGAGCTGCTGCGATAGCCATCACTATTGTTATTACTAATGCCTCCTCTTTTATTCCCTCAATCCTGTTCAGGAAGAGGGTTACAGGAAATAGTGTAGGTCTCAGTACAATATAAATTGAACTGCCTCATCTTCATGTAGTACAATGAGGCAGAAGCAATGACAAGAACTTCATTCAGACTGTAAGGAACCACCTTACTTTATGCAAGGTTTGTCCAGATGATGAGAAAACAAAACAGGCCTTCCTTGAGCCATTTGCACACCTAGCTTTCAGACTCAATCCCTTTGAACTTTAATTCTTTCATTTATATAATAGAATTACATTTATATTACTTCATTTCAGAGGGTTTTTAGGATGATTAAATAAATTATAAATGGGAAAGCAACTTAAAGAATAAAGTGTTAAGAAGCATAAAATGCTAAGTATATGTAAGATGATACTATTAATACGTGCGATTCCCAATGTAAGTCTTGTGTTGCTTTCTTGGCCTTCTCATGACAGATAAACTCAGTGATTTGAACTAGGGTTCCTCCAAAAGAAGCAGAACTGCAACAAAAGCCTCACATAATGTCTGCTATAACCAGATTTTCATTTTAAGGACAGACCAAAATAGGCATACATATTTGAGTAATAAATAGTTTGCTTGTGACATTTTACTGACATTCTTTATCTTGGCTTCTGCAAAATGTTGCAACAGCAAAGTAGTAAACCAGATAAATGTGGCATACCTTTAAAATGTATTTTAGTTCAGTTACCTAGTAGAATTAAGATCCACCAGACTTTCTTGAAGAGTAACTTTCTTTGTAGCTTGTTATAAAGTTGAGTTTAGGGTTAAAATGTGTTTTCTTCTTCAGAATCCAAAGAAGTTTGAAGATGTTTTTGATGAAATGATCTATTTTTTAGAGCAGACCGATCACTGGGGTAGTACTGAAATGGAACTTGCTGCTAGAGGGGTAAGTTCAAGTTTTTTGTGATATTTATTTTTCTTAGTTATTTGCATGTAATTTTACATGAGTTGAGACTACTGTTTCATTGTCCTTGTTAAATACAGTAAAGCCACTTGTATGGTTGTGGGATATCTTTTTTTCTGACAAAGTCATAAACCACACTCCTTATACATTGGGGCAGTAGTTGTAAATTGTTTTCTAACAAGCCTTTTTTGCTGTTGTTGGCTCCTTGCTTCCTTCCCTCCTGTCCTCCTTCCCTTGTTCCCTCTCTCCCTTCTCTCCAAAAGTCACTGGCAGACCCCTAGCAGGGCAGGAATGGTGGCCTATGCAAGGACAGCTTTGGGTGGTACAACAGCAGCAGCTCAGTAGGGCTGGAGAATTGACTGTATACACAGGACTGAACAAATAAGTATACTGAGAAAAATCAGAGCCAGCTTTTCCCTGTGAGAGAAGGGAGGTATAAAATGCTGGGATTGGAATTGGAGCTGTCAGTGTGAGTTCACAGTTTAGAATATATATGTAGATACAGATATAGAAATAAATATAGGTCCGGATGTGGTGGCTCATCCCTGTAATCCCAGCACTTTGGGAGGCTGAGGCAGGCGGATCACCTGAGGTCAGGAGTTCGAGACCAACCTAGCCAACATGGCAAAACCTCGTCTCTACTGAAAATACAAAAATTAGCTGGGCGTAGTGGCTCACGCCTGTAATCCCAACTACTCGGGAGGCTAAGGAATGAGAATTGCTTGAACCTGGGAGGTGGAGGTGGCAGTGAGCCGAGATCATGCCTCTGTACTCCAGCCTGGGTGACAGAAGGAGACTCTATCTCAAAAAAATATATAGATATAGGTATCGGCCAGGCATGGTGGCTCACTCCTGTAATCCCAGCACTTTGAGAAGCTGAGGCGGGCGGATTGTGACCAACGTGGTGAAACCTGTCTCTACTAAAAATACAAAAATTAGCCAGGCATTGGGTGCATGCCTGTAATCCCAGCACTTTGGGAAGCCGAGGCAGGTAGATCACTTGAGGCCAGGAGTTTGAGATCAGCCAGGCCGACGTGGTGAAACCATGTCTCCACTAAAAATACAAAAATTAGCCAGGCATGGTGGTGCATACCTGTAATCCCAGCTACTCAGGAGGCTGAGGCAAGAGAATCACTTGAACCCAGGAGGTGGGAGCTGCAGTAAGCCAAGATCGTGCCAGTGCACTCCAGCCTGGGTGATGGAGCAAGACTCTGTCTCAGAAGCTAAAGAAAAAAAAAAATGAGTTTACAAGGAGCTGAAAGGCCTTCTAGGCAGAGAAAACAGTGAGTACAGCAAATACATGAAGACTTAATCTTTCCTTTTCTAGTGTTCCTTTATTCAGGAAATGGAATCAGCATCCATTTACTTCTGCAGGCCAGCAACCTGAGACTCATCCTTCACCTCTCCCTGATCCTCACCCACTTTATCATATTCATCTCTAAGTTTGTCAGTTTTAACTCATAAATGTCTTTCAGTTTCTTCAACTTTCCTCTCTTCCTGTCACCCCTCTTGGCGTAAGTACCTGTTGTCTTTTCTCTAGGCTACGTCAGTAGTCTTTATATTTCCTGATTCCCTGTTCACTCTTTTCCTCCCTGCATTTATTGTTTCCCCTCTCTGTTTCATTCCCCACATTTCTGCCAAAATGATACAGCACAATATACTTTTTCCTTTATTGTGCTTCACACAGTTCATAATTGGATATTTGCAGGATTATTTTGTTGCTGTTTTCCCCATTATACTCTAGGCATCTAATTTGCTTACTCTAGAAGTCTGAGCACCTGGTACAGTATGCAGTATGCAGAGTGTGTATGAATGAATGAAAGAGCAAGATGTTCATGATCTGGTGGGGAAGACAGGCACATATACCAGTAACTAAATAACAAGGTAGAATGAGCATCCTGGATGTTATAATAGAAGCATGAACAAAGGACTCCTAGAATAGAGGGGAGGAGAGATTATTTTCACTTGAGATCTAGGAAGGAGCAGCGATAATGTGAATCGTAATTTTTAGTGGTGAGCTTTCATATTTGTCTCTCCTTATATTTTTTATTTTTGAATAAGCTGATTAAAAAAAAAACCCTGCTGTTATAAAACCATAAAGCCCTGGCTCAGATTTTACTTCAGCTCTATGTAATAATAATTTTTGTTTCAACTCATAATTTAATGCAGGTGAAAAATCTAAATTTTTATGATGTTGTTCTGGATTTTATATTAATGGATTCCTTTGAAGATTTGGAAAACCCACCCACATCCATACAGAATGTAGTAAATAATCGATGGCTAAACTCATCCTTCAAAGAAACAGTAAGTGGTGGTTTACTTTTCTCAGCCTTTTAAGTTTGATTAAAAAGTGTGGCACATATACACCTTGGAATACTATGCAGCCTTAAAAAAGGATGTGTTCATGTCCTTTGTAGGGACATGGATGCAGCTGGAAACCATCATTCTCAGCAAATTATCTCAAGAACAGAAAACCAAACACCGCATGTTCTCACTCACAGATGGACATTGAACAGTGAGATCACTTGGACACAGGAAGGGGAACATCACACACCAGGGCCTGTTGAGCAGTGGAGGAAGTGGGGAGGGATAGCATTAGGAGATATACCTAATGTAAATGATGAGTTAATGGGTGCAGCACACCAACATGGCACATATATACCTATGTAACAAAGTTGCACGTTGTACACATGTGCCCTAGAACATAAAGTATAAAAAAAAAAAAGGAAAAAAAAGTGGTCAGCCAGGCGTGGTGGCTCACGCCTATAATCTCAGCACTTTGGGAGGCTGAGGCAGGTGGATCATTTGAGCTCAGGAGTTTGAGACCAGCCTGGGCAACATGGTGACACCTCGTCTCTACAAAAAAAAATACAAAAATTTGCCAGGTGCAGTGGTGCATGCCTCTAGTTTCAGTCACTCAGGAGGCTGAGGTGGGAGGTTCACTTGAGCCTTGGAGGCGGAGGTTGCAGTGAACCAAGATCACTCCTTTGCACTTCAGCCTAGGCGATGGGAGTGAAACCCTGTCTCAAAAAAAAAGAAGAATACTTTATTATTACACACAGAATATTTATTTGTGCATGTGAATTCTATATACACATATTTTCACTTTTTTCCCTTAAGGAACAGAACTTTAAAACTCTGAAAATGGAATCTTCTTTGTTCCAGAGTACAGTCTTTTTCCGTTAGTGGCTTTGTGTTTAATTTTTTAAATATTATTTTACTTTTTTTTTTTTTGCCCTTACAACATACAACTTTGCTCATGATTTAAAAATTTAAATAATGAAGTACCTTTGCATTAATATTTTCAAACAATGTGAGGACCCTGACTAGTTTTTTTTGTTTGTTTGTTTGTTTGTTTTGAGACAAAAGTCTTGCTCTGTCGCCAGGCTAGAGTGCAGTGGCGTGATCTCTGCTTACTTCAACCTCCGTCTCCCGGGTTCAAGCAATTCTCCTGCCTCAGCCTCCCGAGTGTCTGGGTCTACAGGCGTGCGCTACCATGCCCAGCTAATTTTGTTTTGCATTTTTAGTAGAGATGGGGTTTCACCATCTTGGCCAGGATGGTCTCCATCTCTTGACCTCATGATCCACCCGCCTCAGCCTCCCAAAGTGCTGGGATTACAGGTGTGAGCCACCACGCCCGGCCGACTAGTTCTTATTAGTAATGAATGTATTGAACGTTTTAGACCCATAAACTTGGAACTTTTTTTTTTTTTTTTTTGAGACGTAGTCTTGCTCTGTCGCCCAGGCTGGTGTGCAGTGGCGTGATCTTGGCTCACTGCAAGCCCCGCTTCCCGGGTTCATGCCATTCTTCTGCCTCAGCTTCCCGAGTAGCTGGGACTACAGGCACCCTCCACCATGCCCGGCTAATTTTTTGTATTTTTAGTAGAGACGGGGTTTCACCATGCTAGCCAGGATGGTCTCCATCTCCTGACCTCGTGATCCACCTGCCTCAGCCTCCCAAAGTGCTGGGATTACAAGCTTGAGCCACCACACCAGGCTGAACTTCTAATAAAAATGGAAATGTTTATATTGCTGTATATGAATCTTTCTTTTCTCTGCATGTATTTAGGCTGTGGCTTCAAGTTGTTGGTCGGTGCTGAAACAGAAAAGACAACAGATGAAGGTAAAATTCATTAAGACCTGAATTCCTTTGTTAAATCATTTAAGGATTCTGTCAAAGAAGCTTCTGAGTCACTTCTCTGGTGGGAATTGGCAGCTGTAGGAGGGGTAGGAGGGACTGTCCCTCAGGCTAGATGAGTGACTTACTGGTGGTGGGTTGGCTTCTTTTTTGAAGGCCTTCTTTCTCATCTTTAATATTTGATGTAGTTTCATATAGCAGTTATTGAGGCGTGCGTGGTATTTCAGCTAACTGGGAGAGGGGTTTAAAGTTGGAAACAGCTCTGATAAGTTTTAGGTTTTTGTTTTTTCTCTTAATGATATTATTATTATTATTATTATTTTTTTTTTTTTTTTAAGACAGTCTGTTTCTGTCACCCTGGCTGGAGTGCAGTGGTGTGATCCTGGCTCACTGCAACCTTCGCCTTTCAAGTGATTCTCCTGCCTCAGCCTCCCGAGTAGCTGGGACTATAGGCGCCCGCCACCCCACCCAGCTAATTTTTGTATTTTTAGTAGAGACCGGGTTTCACCATGTTGGCCAGGCTGGTCTCAAACTTCTGACCTCAAGTGATCTGCCTGCCTCAGCCTCCCAAAGTGCTGGGATTACAGGCGTGAGCCACTGCACCTGGCCAGTATTTTTTACAGTTCTTTAATATAGTGGATTCCACTTAATTTAATCCAATTAAGAAATAAAGATTTGATTCTAATAGCTGCTTTATTCAATTTGGAACCCCTACAAATAAAAAGTCTTAGAGTTTGTATCCTGCCTCCATGCCTCACACCTGTCTTACCTGCTAAGCATTGTTTTTCTCATACACTCCTAGTAGTAAAGGGCAAGGACTCTCAAGTGAGACTGTTGGGTTCAAATGCCACATACTAGCTGTGTGACCTTAGGCAAGTTGCTTACCCTCTCTATGCCTCAGTTTCCTCATCTCTAAGAATAGTGATAGTATCTACCTCATAGTGTTTTGTTTTGTTTTGTTTTAGAGATAGGGTCTTGCTCTGTCATTCAGGCTGGAGTGCAGTGGCATGATCATAGCTCACTGCAGCCTCTTAACTCCTGGGCTTAAGCAATCTTCCTGCCTCATCCTCCCTGAGTTGCTGCGACTACAGGTGCACAGCACCATGCCTGGCTGATTTTTTATTTTTTATTTTTTTACAGATGGGGTCTTGCTATGTTGCCCAGGCTGGCCTCTAACTCCTGGCCTCAAGTGATCTTCCAGTCTCGGCCTCCCAAAGTGTTGGGATTACAGGCGTGAGCCACTGTGCCTAGCCCTCATGGGGTTTTTGAAGATTCAATATGAAGTGCTTAGAACAGTGCTTGGCATAGTGTAGTAAAGAAGTATTGACAATTACAACATTATTATTTGCCCAAGGATATACAGTATTTTATCACATCCATATTTTCCAATCTTATAACTTTGAGACAGTATTGCCAGTTGCAGTGATTTTAAAGTATGGTCCTCACAGCATCTTCAGAATGTGCTGTTAGAAATGATTCTGGAGCCCCATATTTGGATAATTCTTATTTAAAATGATTCCAGAGACCCATATTTTAAGCAAGTTTCCTTAATGATGATGATGAACTCTAACGTTAGGACTAGGAACAGACTTGTAGATGTGGGTTTGATTCTCACACTAACTAGCATGATTACAGTAAGTTACTGACCATCAGCTGACCCTCAGTTTTCCCATGTGCAAAACGGTGTTAATGCCTACTTAATAGGACTGTGGTAAGGATGAAAGCAATATCAACCAGCTTAATTTAAACATTAAACATTTAAAGAGTTTAGTAAGTGGTAGTTATAATGATATTATTAACATGTCTAACTTTATTTTTCTACTTCTTAGAATAAATATTGTACTTTTTTTTCTTTTTGAGACAGAGTCACTCTGTCGCCCAGGCTGGAGTGCAATGGCACGATCTCAGCTCGCTACAACCTCCACCTTCCAGGTTCAAGCGATTCTTCTGCCTCAGCCTCTCAAGTAGCTGGGATTACAGGCGCCCGCCACCATGCCTGGTTAATTTGTATATTTTTGATAGAGACGGGGTTTCATCATGTTGGCCAGGCAAGTCTCAAACTCCCGACCTCAAGTCATCCACCTGCCTTGGCCTCCCAAAGTGCTGGGATTTCAGGCCTGAGCCAGTGTGCCCGACCTAAGTCTACTTTCTATATCCATAGATACCTATATGTCTCACCTCTTGGGAACTATCTCCTATACCTGAAATGCCAAATTCCCTCTGTACTAAAATAAATCTTACCCATCATTGAGCTCAGCTCACATAATTCCTTGCTAAAGTTTATCTAGTCTGCTTCAGCCCACACTAAGTTCCCACTTCTCTGACCTCATAATACACTTCAAGTCTGTATGGTATTTAGAACTTTACTATATGTAGAACATAACTTTTTGGCCCTCACTAACTAGCTGTGTGTGAATTAGGGCAGTTTATTTAACCCCTCTCCAGTATCACTTTTCACATGTTTAAAATGATGTTAACATGACATACTTTTGAAGGAATGTTTTAGTAAATTAAATAGAAACTAGCACATTTTCTAGAATATAATGGGTACTCATTAAATGGTAACTGCTGCTATCTTATGTTTTAAAAATGAGGTTTAGACCCGGCACAGTGGCTCTTGCATGTAATCCTAGCACTTTGGGAGGCCAGAGTGGGTGGATCACCTGAAGTCAGAGTTTGAGACCAGCCTGGCCAACATGGCGAAACCCCGTCTCTACTAAAAATACAAAAATTAGCTGGGCATGGTGGTGCACGCTTGTAATCCCAGCTACTCAGGAGGCTGAGGCAGGAGAATTGCTTGAACCTGGGAGGCAGAGGTTGCAGTGAGCCAAGATGGTGCCACTGTACTCCAGCCTGGGTGACAGAGTGAGACTCCATCTCAGAAAAAAAAAAGAAAAGAAAATGAGGTTTAGAAGATTGTCTTGGAGACTGTAAAATAGAAAATAACCCCCCCAGGAGACAGAATTTTAAGGCGTAGTTTTCTCTCGTCAGTGCTGTATAACAAATCCCACAGTGTGTTACTTAACAAGGGAAATTCAAAAAGTTATAAATATAAACTTAGAGTTTCCTAAAACACAGCTATATGAAGTGATACTTCACAGGAAGAGGCAATTACACAATTAAATACTTAAATGATATAGGGTTCCTTAATTAAAAGTTAGGATTCTAGTAAGAGTAGCTTAATCATTTTACTAGTTGTTGTTGTTGTTGTTGTTGTTTGTCAGTTAATATAATTAAGTGATTGAGTTGGGCTTTTAATAGCTAAAACTATGATAGTCTTATCATAAAACTTATACAACTAAGGAACACTGTAGCATTCTTGTTATTGCCTGGTTGCAAAGCTGATATGATTGCCTTTTTTTTTTTTGAGACAGAGTCTTACTTTGTCACCCAGGCTGGAGTACAGTGGTATTATCTTGGCTCACTGCACCCTCCAACTCCTGGGCTCAAATGATCCTCCCACCTCAGCCTCCTAAGTAGCTGGGACTATAGGTACACACCACCACTCACGCCTGGCTAACTTTTGTATTTTTTGCAAAGACAAGATTTCACCATGTTGTCCAGGCTGGTCTCGAATTCCTAGGGTCAAGTGATCCACCTGCCTTGGCCTCCCAAACGTGTTGGGATTATAGGCATGAGCCACCATGCTTGGCTGGATGGCTTTTTTATGAAGCATTTTTATGAGGTAAAAACAACTTTTAAGGGCGGGATATGGCAGCTCATGCCTGTAATCCCAGCACTTTGGGAGGCCAAGTAGGGAGGATTGCTTGAGCCCAGGAGTTCAAGACCAGCCTGAGCAACATAGTGAGACCTATTTCTACTAAAAACAGAAAAAATTAGCCAGGAGGGGTGGCATGCACGTGCGGTTCCAGCTACCTGGGATTTTTTTTTTTTTTTTTTTTTTTTTTGAGACAGAGTCTTGCTCTGTCGCCCAGGCTGGGGTGCGGTGGCCGGATCTCAGCTCACTGCAAGCTCCGCCTCCCGGGTTTAGGCCATTCTCCTGCCTCAGCCTCCCGAGTAGCTGGGACTACAGGCGCCCGCCACCTCGCCCGGCTAGTTTTTTGTATTTTTTTAGTAGAGACGGGGTTTCACCGTGTTAGCCAGGATGGTCTCGATCTCCTGACCTCGTGATCGCCCGTCTCGGCCTCCCAAAGTGCTGGGATTACAGGCTTGAGCCACCACGCCCGGCCGCTACCTGGGATTTTGAGGTGGGAGGATCGCTCAAGCTTGGGAAGGTGAGGCTGCAGTGAGCCATGACTGCACCAGTGCGCTTCACCCTGGGCTACAGAGTGAGACCCTGTCTCAAAAAAACAAACAACAAAGAAAGAAATGTGTCTCAGCACATATTAAACTATTGACTAGGATATGAAAACTATAAACTAGTTTATATAAAACACTCTATGACTCTAAAGGTTTCTTGTAACCTTATTAACTTTCTTAATAGCATGGCTGATGATTGACTCTTGGTTTGCCCTCAAAAACGGTAGTCATGAGCCTTGCACTGTAGTGTGCACCTGTAGTCCCCACTGCTCAGGAAGCTAAAGCAGGGGGATTGCGTGAGGCCAGGAGTTTGAGGTGTTGCTAGACTCTGGTCTAAAAAGCAAATTTTCTTAAACTCCCACTGGTCATATAATGACTATCAACTTCAGTTTCTGTACTAGAGAAAGCAAATAACAAGAAGGTAGAAATAACTTGATTCTCCTTTACTTCCCAACAGATCCCAGATGGATTTTTTGCCCATTTTTATGCCATTTGTGAACACATCAGTCCTGTCCTAGCCTGGGGCTTTTTGGGTCCTAGAAATTCTCTCTATGATTTATGTTGCTTTTTTAAGGTATGTTCAGTCATTGAGTAATTTCTCTTTTTTTTCTAAATCAAAGAGGAGATACAGTTTTATTCTGTTTTGCTTTTGTAGAAGAACAACTGTTATTTAAGAGTAAATTTATAAAAGTCACCTAAATTCAGCATTTAAATGCCAGTATTAACTATTTTTGGCATTTTATAATACCACTATTATTATAATGGACCAGTATTTTATAGATTTGGTGCTTTATTGTGGAGTAGGCTCAGCATATCCATTCACCTTATCAGTTCCCTAATGCAGGGGATACCCAAGCTTGAGCAACACAGTGAGACCTGTTTCTACTAAAAATAGAAAAAATTAGCCGGGAGGGGTGGCATGCACGTGTGGTTCCAGCTACCTGGGATTTTGAGGTGGGAGGATCGCTCAAGCTTGGGAAGGTGAGGCTGCAGTGAGCCATGACTGTATGAATTTGAAAGTCTGGATGTTTTACTGTACCATTCTTTTTTTTAAATTATGTTTATGTGCTGTCAAGGTAATATTTTTATAAATGGTTTAGAAAATGTTTATTTTACTCTCATTCAGAACACATTGGTTTTTGTAGTTTACTTGACTACCCAAATGTAAGGTATGTGTTTTAGGGATTGGGAATTAAGTCTGTCATCAGTGAGCATTCTGACTTGGGGCAAATCATTCTTTGCTATTCCTTTTCTTTATCTATAAAATGAGGGGACCTAACAGGTTGATTGCTAATGACCCTTTCAGATATAAAATCTAGTGAATCAGCCGGGCGCGGTGGCTCACGCCTGTAATCCCAGCACTTTGGGAGGCCGAGGCGGGCGGATCCCAAGGTCAGGAGATGGAGACCATCCTGGCTAACACAGTGAAACCCCGTCTCTACTAAAAATACAAAAAATTAGCGGGGCGTGGTGGTGGGTGCCTGTAGTCCCAGCTATTCGGGAAGCTGAGGCAGGAGAATGGCGTGAACCCGGGAGGCGGAGCTTGCAGTGAGCCAAGATCGCGCCACTGCACTCCAGCCTGGGCGACAGAGCGAGATTCCGTCTCCAAAAAAAAAAAAAAAAAAAAATCTAGTGAATCAGTGAAGTGTGTCTTCTTAGTACTTCTTAATAACGTTTGGAAGATATGTTATTAAGAAAGAAGACAAATTAAATATTCCTGTTTTTCACTCTTTGAAATTACTTTTTTTTCTATTATGGTGACATAACAGCTGAGACTTAATATTTATTAGTAGGCAGTTTGCTTACAGTGAGTTTCAGTGTATATAATAACTTACTGAAATGAAATATCCTTCAGGATCTACCACTGATTTGAGACCTGAAATGTTCTTTGTTTTTCATGTGCCTTAAGGGTTTTTCTTGTACAAAAAAAGCACATTTAAAATTATAATGTATTATTTTATTATTATTTATTTAAAACTATTACTAGAATAGTTTATTTTTCTGTCTTAGAGTAGAGGCAATGCTCAAAGGTCACATTGAAGGAAAAGGACTATAACCCCTTACATTTAAACAGTGCTTTAGAGTTTACAAGCGCTTCTTATAGATTATCTTTTTAAAATGTTTCCCCACCTCTTCATGGTATCACATAGGTTATCTTTTTTGATCATCATGTCATCCCTGAGTAGTAAGTAGGATGGGTGGTATTAGCCCTATTTCACAGAAAAAGACAATGAGCCCCAAAAAAGGAAAGGTTAAATCACTTGTGCAAGGTCCCTTTTCTAATGAGATATGAAACTAGCACTGGAAGTCAGGTCTTCTGATTCCTGATTCAATGCTCATTATAATATTAGAAGCTTTTTCAATGTAACATAACTTTGGTCTAATAAATGCCAATTTGTTTTATGTTCATTTTCCAGAATCAAGTTCTTTTATTTCTCAAAGACATTTTTGACTTTGAGAAGGTGCGCTATTCAAGTACAGAGACTTTAGCTGAAGACCTCATGCAGTTACTCATTCGCCGCACTGAGCTTTTAATGGCCTATCTTGAAGCAGATGCCCTGAGGCATACGAGTAGTTGTCTAAGTAGTCATGGTCATGTTATGTCCACTGGGCTACTGGAAGCCAAAGTACAATAAGTACCATAAGAATCATGCAATTTGAGTGTGCTATGAAATATTTTAAGGTAACTATTGATTTTGTAACATATATTACAGAATCAACAGAATTGGTGCATGTGGATTCAGGAGGAAAAAAAATCTAGTAAAAAATGAGCAACTGTACTGTATTTATACAGAAGTTCTGTCATTGAATTCCTGTGTAGTGTAGTCATAGTGGCTTTTTGCACTTATTAGGTAATAATCAAAGTTGTGAAATGTATCTTTTACAGAAATATTGCTTGAATTGAAGCCAATATTTGGGAGTTAATTGGTTTGTCTTCTTGAAGCTGTCATTCTCAAAAGCTCTGTTTTTATGTTTTGCACCTTTAAAATGTACACTTTAGCCAAGATCTTTGTGGCCCACACATGAAAGAATATATTACTCCTAGTGTCAGTATATTTAACTTTGCCTAGAAACATATTTTTAATTATAAAGTTATTTGTTTAATCAAGTTTAGGCAGTAACGATGTTTAACATGTACTGCATACATTATTGCTTGTGCATTTGCTTATGTATTTGAATCAAAGAAATTGTAATCACCGAATATTGTTATAGACTATTTAAATGGGCCACTTGTAGTGGCTCATGCCTGTAATACTTCGGGAGGCTGAGGCAGGAGGGTAGTTTGAGGCTAGAAGGTTGAGACTAGCCTGGACAACATGAGGAGACGCCTGTCTCTACAAAAAAATAAAAATAAATTAGCTGGTATCAAGCAGAGTTCCATGGAAATATTAAAATTTAAAAGTAAAAATAAAAATAGGCCGGGCTTGGTGGTTCATGCCTGTAATCCTAGCACTTTGGGAGGCCAAGGTGGGCGGATCACCTGAGGTCAGATGTTCGAGACCAGCCTCACCAATATGGTGAAACCCCGTCTTTACTAAAAATACAAAAATTAGCCAGGTGTGGTAGCGGGCGCCTGTAGTCCCAGCTACTAGGGAGGCTGAGACAGGAGTATTGCTTGAACCCAGGAAGTGGAGGTTGCAGTGAGCCGAGATCGCACTACTGCACTCCAGCCTGGGCAACAAAGTAAGACTCCATCTCAAAAAATAAATAATTTAATTAAATTAGTTGGGTGTGGTGGCATGTGTCTGTGGTCCCAGCTACTTGGGAGGCTGAGGTGGGAGGATCACTTGAGTCCAGAAGGTCAAGGCTGTCATGAGCCATGATTGCACCACTGCACATCACCCTGGGTGACAGCAAGACCCTATCTCAAAAGTGAATAAATAAAACAAATAAAACATTTAAATGAATTGACACTGAGAAATTCACAATTTATAAATTTATATTAACTGTAGTTTCCAAAATATGTTACTGTTGGTCCTGTAAGTTACAAAGAGACTGAAGAACTTTCTTTTTATACATTAGAGCATTTTTCCCTGGAATGAATATTGATTAAAAAGATAGCATTTATTTATTAATAAAGGCAATTTAAAATTTAGTGTTATTTGAAGACTGTCAACATCTGAAGGTATGAAACTTGGTACAGTAAAATAATTTCTCCTTTCTCCTACAAAACTTCCTTTTAGTTATTCCCACAGAAAACTCAGCCCAGTGGGAATTTGTCATATTATGCCCATGTTTTTAAAATATTCATATTTTGAATCTTACTGACGTTTTAAAGAAGGGTTTTTTCCTCCCTTGAATGTAAAGCAAAACTATTTTTAATCATGTGGAAGTATATATTTCATGTTCATTATGATATATCTACAAACAAATGAATTGTTTTTATGGGTGGGGTTCTTCTATAAGAGTATATTAAATGCTGTCAGAGTTGTATTAATTTTGTTTCTAAATAATATACCACTTATTTGGAGTGGCTAACTCAGTATGTAAGTAGATTAGATTTATTGATTTTGCCCCTAAAACGGGCTTTATTCATTTTAGGAGTGAGTTGCACAAAAGGACCTAAAATGCTCTGGTTTTTTTCTTCTTTTAAGAGACGGGGTCTTGCTCTATTGCCCAGGCTGGAGTGCAGTGTGCTATCATACATAGCTCACTGCAGTCTCCAACTCCTCATACTAGATGCATGTGCCACCATGTCTTACTCCTAAAACGCATTTTTAAAAAGCGAATTTTTAGATGAAAGTGCCTAGTTTCTGATTAATAAATAAAAGATGAAAAGTCGGGGGAAAAAGCATAATCTTTTAAGATTTGTAAATTTGTGTATGTGCCACATTTATGTAAATTAACTACAAAATATGGAATTCAGGATCATGCTGTTTTGCATGTACTTTCTAGGTTATTATAGCATGAAACATACAAATTACCACTGTTCTTTAGTATATAGCTCCTTGACTTTTCTTACATAGATGCTTAATTTAACAATTACCTATTTATAATTCTTATTATTGATGGGAATATGATTAGAAGTACCAAAACTAAAAATTCCATTATATACTGTTTACTTTTTATTTAATATTACATGTTTTTACCTTGTTGTGGTATCTTTGGTCTTGAATGATACACACACATATGTGTGCGTGCACATGCATTTCATTACCATGTAGACAAGACAGTTATTGCTTATATTAACTTACCCATTTGAGGGATAAGTGTTTTAAGTTGTGGTTTTATAAGCAAAGCTGTAAGTAAATGTAATTTATTTTAGAAAGATATTATTTGACAGCAGTTTTGAAGAATTGCACTATTTGATAATGCTGCTACTACATGAGATAACTCTGGGGAATTAATTTTATGAGATAAGACGAATGGCTTTCTAGAAGGTGTTGCTTTTTATTTTGTTTTTTTTTTCTTTTTTACATTTCATCTAAGAAAAAGTTGCTTATATTCAGCAGGATGGTTTGTCAAATTCAGTGTTTGAGTTTGTTTCTGGTCAGTTCAGTAGCTGCTACTTTAGCAAGATGTGGCCTTTCACAAAAGAGGTAAGAGTGACCAAATAGAATTTTAGGACAATAAGTATAGGAAAAACCTCTCTATTGTAAGAGAAGAAACTTGAACTTTTTTTTTTTTTTTTTTTTTTTTTTGACAGAGTTTCGCTCTGTCGCCCAGGCTGGAGTGCAGTGGCGCGATCTCGGCTCACTGCAAGCTCTGCCTCCCGAGTTCACGCCATTCTCCTGCCTCAGCCTCCTGAGAAGCTGGGACTACAGGCACCCACCACCACACCCGGCTAATTTTTTTGTATTTTTAGTAGAGACGGGGTTTCACCATGTTTGCCAGGGTAGTCTCGATCTCCTGACCTTGTGATCCGCCCACCTTGGCCTCCCAAAGTGCTGGGATTACAGGCGTGAGCCACCGTGCCCAGCGAAACTTGAACTTTTTAAAGGAAATGTCCTCTTGAACATTCTGACTGCATGGAGAAGGGTACTTAAGACATATAACAGGCCGGATGCAGTGGCTCATGCCTGTAACCCCAGCACTTTGGGAGGCCCAGGTGCGCAGATCACCTGAGGTCGGGAGTTTGAGACCAGCCTGACCAACATGGTGAAACCCCGTCTCTACTAAAAATACAAAATTAACTGGGCATAGTGGCGCATGCCTGTAATCCCAGCTACTCGAGAGGCTGAGGCAGGAGAATCGCTTGAACCTGGGAGGCAGAGCTTGCAGAGAGCCGAGATCGTGCCATTGCACTCCAGCCTGGGCAACAAGAGCGAAACTCTGTCCCAAAAAAAAAACAAAAGACATATATAACAGTTTCCTTTTGCCTTAAAATTGGGTTAAATAGCAAAAGCAATGTTTTTAAAAATGATTAGTTCAGAGCCTTTTAGGGTAAACTCTGTTTAAACACTCATGGAATTGCCCTTGCCACCATGAGTTCTACCATCCACTTCCATATGTAAATTGTAAGAGGGACTTCAGTTAAGTCAGTCCTGAGAAAATAGCCTTTTTTCTGGAAGAAAGAAGATAAATTTTCAGGCAATTTACATTTGGTATTTCTTTTAATTTCCTTTTTTCTATTTTGATTTCTCTACATTTTTGTTCAACTAAAAGAGTACTTATTTCTTCTTGAAGGTTAACATTATGTTTATTAAGTATCAAAATGGACTTATCTTTTAAAAAAGAAGACAAGTTTTCCATACTGTCACAGCTCCAAAGAACTTTCTATCTTTCTCATACAGTAATATTCTTTATTTGCATCCATTTACTATGATTCCATTAATTTGTTAAATTAACTGCCTTTATAAAAATATTTACAAATGTTTTCTTGCCTTAAAATGTAACATTTTCTACTTTAATTTCCAAGAGAGTGATTATTTGCATTACAAAGGAATTCTTAATAATTCCTGTTAGCCTAGGAAATAGGAATGCCAAAGTAACATTTAATGTACTTCTCTGTAACTTTTCATAATCAGAAATTTTTAATTATGTTTATATAACCCATTTTCATTTTAATGTGAATATATATTCAGAAATTATTTGATGTAAATTTCAAAATGATTATAGAAATTAAGCTGAATTCTAATTTTTGCTTAGATTAAGAAATATGTATGTGAAATTTAAGAATTTATGTAATCTGTGATTAATGGAAATAACATCCCTACTTTGTTCCTAATGAATATATTATGTTATTGTTTTGTTTAGTTTGAGAACAACCATGTATTAGCTTTACTTGGCTGATATCAGTAAATGTTTCTATTTCCTAAATGTAAGGCCTGTACTCATTAATTTGTGTAAAAGTAAAACACTACAGTAGCAGAAAAAATTGCACTGGCTCTTTAGCCAAAATAAGCACTGTAATGTGGATGTATTACTATTACTGCCAAATAAAAAAGTGATGGTACGTCTTGTTGATGTATTGAATATTTTAAACAATGTTAATATATAATTATGAAGTCACACTTGTCTCATCAGATCCTATATGAGAACATTCAGTCTCCATAAGACCCATATATATGGCATAGAGAACAGGACAACTGCAGAAGCATTATAACCAAATACAAAACTTTATCATTAAAATAAAAAATAAAAGGCCAGGCGCGGTGGCTCACGTCTGTAATCCTAGCATTTTAGAAGGCCAAGGCGGGTGGAT